ATGTTCGGCTCCGCCCGAACTTAGACTTTCTTACTTGTTTTCTATATTTATGTCCATAAATGTTGGAAACGGAAAATTGAGGTTCTACGCCGACTCCTGATGAGGCTGTTCCACCGTGTGCAGATATGTACCAAAATATACATAACTTTTTAAAATAAAGCATTTTTCGTCAAACATTACAGCTCTAATTAAGCAAAAAATAAATTGTTTTCTGAAAATTTTCATATTAAATAAAAATGACTAGGACTATGACTTTGTTCAGCGAAAATTCGAAGCGAAGATTTCTTCTTTCGAAAATATACCAAGGTTATTCTGTTGCAAAATTGTTGTTGTACAGTGTAATTGCTAGTACTAAGTAGAATAAAGGCAAATAAATACACACAAGCACACACATATGTACATATGAATATTAAGGCATGCAGCAGCGCTCTCGCAAAATAGGGAATACAATCCTTTATATATTAAAGAAAAATGCATAAATTGTGCCCAAAAATGTATGCAAGGCTGTGCAGGAATTAGGGAGACAGAGGGGCAGCAGGTTTTTCTAGAAATAACTAAAAAAGATAAACCATTTGTTTAGGTTTACTGAGGAAAAAACGTTTGCTCCATTTTATAAATATTCAAAAAATAAATTTCTCATTTTCTGTTTATTTATTCATATAAATTTACTCATTTCGTGTATTGTATGTATGTATATTAGGGTGCATCACCAAAAAAAAAGTTGCGGCTTTTTCACCGGAATTATAAAATTTAATATATTTTAAGACTGCCGCCTAAAATATTTTAGACAGATGTTAAGATTTACGTGAGCTATAACGATTTGGAATATCTACACAAGCGCAACTATTTTGATTTCGATGCTAAAATTTCTAAATACGATATTTTAAGCTCAAACTAGTCTATCATCTGAGGTAATTTTTTAGAAAATATATAAAAAAAAAATAGTTTTATTTATAAAAAAAAAATCCATTTTTGGAGGTATTTTCGGATACGTACAGCTCACGTAAATCTTAATATTTTTACGAAATATTTTGGTGGCAGTCTTAAAATATAATGGCCCATATTAAAACTCATTCTTGTTAAAATAAAGTGTTAAGTTTAGAATAGATTTTTAAGACATAGACATCTTAGAAACAGCTTTTTGTTAAGACGAGAGAGAACAGAGCTATCCATATAAAGAGTAAAAATTTACTCGGAAATATAAACAAATACGAGTACTTTAATTAGTTCACCCTGTGCCTGCTGTAGCTTCGAATCCCAATGCCAGGAAACATTTTTTACATGTTTTTTTTTGTTCTTTTAAATATAATTTAAATTTTTTTTATGTAATTATAGTTGTTGTGACCTTTTTAATTAAAATTAAACTCCAAAACATTTGATTAACTTGAAATTATTGTGTGAATTGCCGTAAACAAAAAAAGTATTAAAATAAAATTTTTTTAAGTAAAATAAAATAATGTTTATATTAAAAAAATAAAAAACCGAATCTGGGTACAATTGCGTTTACTACTTCAACAACTAAACAAAACTTAGAACCTCATTCCACGATTTTAAAATCGCGTTCTCCTCATTTCAAAGTTTTTGCCATAAAATGCACTTCAAGTTGACTATGAAAGAGTTAAAACGGTGATTACTATAAAATACAATTTTAATCGCTAAAACCTTTTTCTAACTTCTCTATGACTACGGGCCAATAAATTTTATATATCCGATGAAAAAGACACTATCGATTTTTTTCTATTTTGTAAGGAGGGCGGTGATGCAGCCTAATGTACGTACATAAAAATGTTTTGACTTTTGTGTTTGTTTGGGATTTTGTGTGGGTGTGGACAGTGATGATAGAGACAAAGTTGAGAGTGAGAAAGTAAATATAGACACAAAAAACCATTCAAATTGATAAAAGTAATCTAAATTATTACCATATTCTAATCCGTGGTCGTAGTATTGGCCTAATTCGGGGATAGTAGTACAAATACCATAAAAAACAAATGCGGTTGATTGGTTTGGATATTTGTTTCGTTTATTGTTTTATTGTCGGTTGATTTGTTGGTTGATTGATTTTTTTTTTTTTGCGATCGATTTCATTTTGCATTTGTTTTTGTTTTTTATTTTAATTTTTTTTTTTAATTGGTTGGCGAATGAGAAAATAAGTAGGAAAAAGAAAGAAAAGAAGAAAGTATAGTAAATAAAATTATGCAAGTTTGTTTTTACATATTTTGCAGGGATGGGTTGCGCTTGTTTGGTATTGCATTTTTTGTTAGTAAAAATTTTGTTTATAAAAAAATTAACAAATATTTGTTAAAATATTTATAAAATCTGTGACACAAAAGGGGACGAGTCAAGAAAACTAAAAAAAAATGCAGGACGGGAAATTCTTAGAAAAAGTTTAAGGGAAACGGACATAAACTCTGTAATTCGGGTAAGCTACATTTAAGTAAACTTTTTTCTGTTAATTAAATCTATCAAGAGGAGCAGTAAGTTTAAAAGTACTTAAAAATACGGTTTTATGTTTTCACAACTTCGAATTAAAAGTGTAATATGAAGTAATAGATATTGTGCTTAAATACAATACTTTAGAAAATGAGATTAGGAAAGAATTTAGACGGCGTGTAGAGTGATACAGTGGGCTTATTTCTGCATAAAATTAATAAGAAAATTGCACTGCCAAAATAAAAAAACTGAAAATCAAAAGGTTCTGTTTGCCGGTTGTCTTCGAAGTATTAAGGATAAGCAACAGCCGTAAGAATAACAAACTCCCACACGACAATGCGAACTCCTGCACATCAGCTTAAACAAAAGGATTTTTGAAAACTTTGATGGGGGCAATCCCGATTTACAACTCCAATTTGCCACCTAATGATTTTTCCTTATTTCCACACAAATGTGAGTAAGAAACTCTAATGCATGGAAAAATATATTTATATTCAATGATTTCCAGGACTCTGAATCAACTCAATATTCGTAGTTGGGGTATTCTTGATAAGCTTCTGTGTGCAGCAACTAACTTCTTCGTTGGTATTCAGGAAAAAATCTGAAATGAATGTGATTTCTTACTTTAGGGTACAATGCTTTAAGTGCCCACTGAAGTCTGCTCACTAAGAGGTGGGGCTGTGGCCCGAGCAACGTAAAAACAAACATGGAATGAAAGTGACTAAAAAGCACGGAAGCAGAGAAGAGAACCCCGTTTTCGTTGATGAAGTCCACGTCTAAAAAAGTATAGTTTGAGGTATACACCCGAAAAGTCTAAACCCTTAATTGGGTAGGTGCCTAAGTTTAACTAAGGCTGACATCGGCGCCAATTAAAGAATGCGGTCGACGGGGAAAGGCAGGCATCAGTGCTGATCTGTAAAAGAGCCAAAGTTACATGTAGGATTTGTGGTGGGAGAGGGCTTTCGTGCCGAATTTGGTCGTTCACTATATTGGAAGGGCACCTCGCCACTTCTTCACTATCCCGTTCATTCGCATCCACGCACCAACAAAAGAGAAGGAGCAGGCTTCCAACGAAGTCTTCTATGAGCGCTTGGAGCGCACCTAAGAGTACTGCCCCGTCACGATATAAAAGTGGTGCTTGGCAATTTCAATGGCAGAGTGCACAACTGAGCATCTTTGGTCCCATTATGGGAAATTTTAGCCACCAAAAGGAAACATCCAATAACGGGCATAGGGTAATCGACTTCAGGGCCCGAAGAATGGCAGTCTGCAGTCCCAGGTTCCAGTTTAAGAAGATCAATCAAACCACATGGCTGTTTTCAGACCGAATGAAAATCGAGTATGCTGTGATCGATGCGTCGCAATTCTAGTCTATTCGACTATGTATGATCCTAGGACAAACATCGACTAGCAGCAGTATCTTGTTGCAGCCGAGATGTACCGAGCAGTACAAAGAAAATTTAATGTCCAAAAGCTAGGATCACAAAAGACTGCCAGCAATTTCGCTACTCTATTCTGAAGGGGGAAACAAGACGTAGTTTCCTAATTAAAAGAAAAAGACCAAATACGCGAGTGCGAGAAGCTTTAAAGGCTAGCCCACCGCAAAATACACTCGACAATTTTATCAGAAAGTCTGGTGAAAGTTACGGATGGCTTTAAGGCTAGGCCGAATTCATATATTCATATAAAGACAACCAGAGCGACCTATTGACCGAAGTCTAGAGCGTGCCGCAATTATAGAGAGAACAGTGCTCTGCCTTGCCCAACGGTAACAGTACTGAAAAAAGTGAAGAAGATGAGCCAGAACCCGCTGTCGAAAAAAGACGGAGTTGATGTTCTGCCACTCGACTACGACGAAGTACAAATAACTTGTTTGAGAATAAAACACAACAAAGTCACTGGCGCTGACGGCCCGCCATTTGAGCTATGCATGCAAGCAACAGCGTGTCTGCCGACTGGAATTTAAATATGGTCTGCCTAATCTACATACAAGAAAGGCCGCTTCCGTCATATGCGCCAACTAGCGCTGGATCAGCCAAATGAACGTCGCCTATTAAAGCCGCCATAGCGGGTAGAAAATATAACGGACATTTTCTAATCAAAAGAGAATATGCAGAAAACTTTCTCTAGCAACACTGGGACTGGATTTCACTTGGCATTTCCAATTGATGTCAGCTGGTACAGAAGAGAAACAAGTAGCGGCTTCTATCAGACTCCCAAATGGGAACATAGAGATGCACATAAAAATATGTCTGCCAGCGCTGAAATCTGATTTCATTTGGCATTTCTAACTGACATCAGCTGTTTTATTAGATTCGGCTAAAATCGCTTAGGTGGTTAGGCTTAGCGCTATACAAGCGGAATAGTCATTGAATTGTGATTTAAAATTTTATTTATTGCTAACAACAGCAGCTCGTGAATGACATTTGGTTGGCCATCCAGAATTTTTATCGTTTATTAGAAAATTAACGATTAAGGGTTATACTCTTCACAGCGCTTTGCTTTAGACAAATCAGATGAACTACTTTTTCTTAAATATTTTCATTAATGAGAAAATTTCTATTTTAAATTTGATAAGATTTTATGCGACTAACCCCATTATAACTATTGAACATATTAAAGGAAATAACCACTTTAGTTCAAAATTGTGAAAACATTATATTTTGTAAAAGTGATTACAAAGCAGAACCAATCTTAAATTGTTTTTTCTTTAATCGAGTTTTAATAAAAAAAGAATGCAGATTTTACCACTTTTCAATTTATTATGCCTTGCTTTCACTTTTTTTTTAATAATTTTAAATTTAATAATCCCTTACCCTCCTTACCAACTAACCCCGTATATATACTCACTTCAACGAATAACTGTTGGTTGCATCCTGTCGCACTACCAGCGGTCGCTGACTAGCCGATGTGGCTGCACCGCCACCACCACCACCACCACCACTACCACCGCTACTGCCACCAACACCTCCACCACCACCGCCTTGCTGCACATTGCCATTGGCATTGCTGTGATCCTGTGTGGGTGTGGCCGGCGATGACGTGGACGTTTGGCCGGGCTTCTTCTTCAGTGCCGACTTGAGAGGAACTGCATTTGGTTTTGGCTCTTTGGCTGGAATTTCCTCAATGCGCTGCGTATCGACATGATTGGGATGTAATGATTGTTGTTGCTGTCGCAACTGGAACATATACTCCTCATCGGAGTCTAGTTGATCATCGTCAGGTTCATGATCTGAACGAGAAAAGGATTTAATTTTAACAAAATAAAAAAAAATTAAATAAGTATGTAGATATATATAGAAATGTGCACGATACGTACTTATGTATGTTAAATATTTCTACAAGCATTGGATTACACAAGCGATTTGTAGCGAATTTTATTGACATTTCGGTGTTAAAAGTAAGATTTTTTATTTATGATACACAAACTATTAAAATGAGGTGTGAAAAAATAAATAAAAAAGGAGTAACACTTACGATCAAAATAATAGCAGTGTGACATTCTTAAAAGTGTTTGCTATTTTTGTTCGTTTATTTAATGTTTGTTATTTTTTTTATAAAAGTCTAGCTCATTATATACCAAACAACATGCAAATCCACATTTCAAACTTTTACAAAAATTTCAAGAATTCAAAAAATACTCACCAACATTACAAACATTTTATTCAGAATTTTTAGAAAAGTTTTAGGTATGCAATATTACAGCCCACTAAATTTTAAAATTAACTTTGAAGTGACTGAAGAATCGCGTTGATTTTGAATAATATTTTTGCTGACGCTATTGTGCATGTAAAGTATGCTAAAAATTTCTTTTAATATAGAAGAAAATCTCTAGCAGTGTCAGTAAAAAAAAAAAAAAAAAATCAATGCGAATTTCTTGCCAGTTCAAACTTGCAACTTGTTAATCTAAAAATTTATGGGCTTCAAAATTGCATAACTATTTTTTTTTTTATTCTGAATATACAGTTTGAAATTTTTTGGTGAAAGTCTGTTGAATTTTTTATTTTTATGTTGTTAGTTTTACTTATCGTTGGATAATTGGATTTTATTAGTTTATGTGCAAAAAAGAGACTTTCTTAACTTTGCTGCCCGACGTTTCGCCAAACTCCTTAGCATCTTTTGGGGCGTTTTTACTTTCAATTTTCAACGAAGTTTGAAATGTGGATTTATAGGGCGTTTGCTACAAAATGAGCTACACTTTTATAAGAAATGTATAAATATGGTCAAAATGCCGCACTGCTATAATTTTGACCGTAGGTGTATGTATATATGTACATATGTAGACGGATGCTATACAAAATGAAACGTAAATTTAAGTAGCAGCATCATTGTCTTCTTAATACTACCAAGAACGTACACCTTTTAATGCATCCACATTAGGGGGCATCAAAAAAAAAATAAAAAGCGGTATGGGTTTTCCAACGGAACTATAAAATCTCTTTTATTGTAAGACTTTCGCCGAAATATTTCGCAAAAATATTAAGATTTACGTGTGTTGGACAGATTTGAAAATACCACCAAAAATCACATTATTTTGTTTTGTTAATAAATGTTCAAACATTTTTATGCAGACCTTTAACTTCTGCTATATGTAAATTGCTGTTATTTATTTTTATTAAAAACGACCTCAAGCTCAAAAAAATAAAAAAAAGCCTTTTAAGCTTCAACTATTCTATCATCTGAGGTGATTTTTTGGAAAAGAATTTTTAAAAACAATTATTTTTTTTCATAAAAAAACTTAATATTTTTCCGTATCTTTTTTGGCGGAAGTCTTTAAATATAGTAACGTATATGATTCCGGTGGAAAGACTGTCACTTTTTTTTTGGTGATGCACCCTAATGTGTATAGCACACTCAACATAAATATGCATACATTTATGTGAATGTATTGTTTAAGTTAATGCGCGTACAAGAATTACCCATTAATGTAAACTCAAGAGCATTATCAACACTTTAGAGGTAGTGAAAAACTGGCAATAAAATTGTGTTTACAATGCTCATAAAAAGCCTATGACGTAATAATAAAACAATGACATTGGCAATAGCATGTGGGTAGCAAAAATAAATGAAAATAGCTTAAAATGAATAACAAAGGATGTCAAAATAATGAAATACGTGCATGAGATGTGTAGAATTCAAAGAAGTTTGAGCATTTGGATTTTTCATTGATGCACACATAAATCGCTTTGACACTAAGTCCTGTCATGATATAAAATTGATGGATTAAAAAATGAAGAACAAACAAGCAGTGGCGGAAAGTCAAGCCAGAAAAAACGACTATGATTTTAAAAGGCAACAAAAAAAGCTGAAGACAATAAAATATCTAAACAAGTGAAAATGATTGAAAAAAAAACACTAGAATAAATCTTTAGCTTTGCCTATTCGCTTCTTAAATATGAATGCGTTTGTAATTTTTTTATTCTAGCTAATTTGCTGTTATACCCAGTAGAAATCACTCATACGCCATGTTGGCACTTAATAGAAGACATGGCGTATGAGTGACATGCATGCCAGCGCTGGTTGAATACAGCTGAAGAGACCAATTCTGAACGATCGCGACCACTTTACGTCTGTTTATATTTTGGTAACAGTCCCCTTTTAGCTATTTTATGGCCAAAGCTTGGCTCTTTTGACTAAAGTCGCAAGGGCTGGAGAAGATTCAGGGTCCGAATCGCGGTATTCGATATCAAATTTGACTCGAACCGTAATTTGAATTTGAGTTCAGGCCTTTGGATTGCGCGTGCCCTGCGCCAATTTAAATTGCCTTGGCGCAAAAACAGCTTTTATTTTTTTCAATTGGATCGAAACGAATAAATAATCATTTCGGCCGGGAGTTCATTTTGTCAATATTCTGCTGATAGACTTTAATGGAAATAAAAGCTGTCTCAAAACACATCGTTTGAACGGAACTGCTTTTTAATATATGACAGCATGTAATTTATGGTTAAATTGTTTTATTTTAATTTTTAATTTACATTGTTTCAGGCGAAAAAATGCGATTGCTTTCTATCAAATCGAAATAGCTTAATTCAATTCGGTTAAGGACGCCAACATTTCTAAACCCACTAAATTACGCAAATAATTTTTTTTTTAGAGATTTGCAAAGGTAATCGATCGGCGCATATTTCAGCATGAATGCCTTTTCACAGTACCGTGGATAACGAAAAAAAGTATCGTCAAAAAATAAAACTATTGCAAAAACACATATTTATAACAATTATAATTTTTTTTTTTGTACGATAAAGTGTGAATATTTATCCATTTTGCAATATTTTAATATATAACAGTTTATAACTTCGACAAATATTCGATTTTTTTTTTTCAAAATATTTGTTTGCCAACATAAGACGAAACTGGAGAACGAGGTGGAAGATTTGATCATTTAGTTTTTATGAGATTAGCTAATTCAAAAGGATACAGTGGTTCACTCCAAATATCAATCGGATCGAATCTTTATTACATCAAAAGAAGGCTGGGAAATTATCATCAAAATACAGACAAAGACTTAAGCAAAATCCAGGATATTAGGGACCCTACTACTTTCGAAGAAACTAGAGGGTTAGTAAACATAGTGCCCTCAATATTGTAGGAAGTCATTAGGACAAATGACAGTGGCACAAAATATTTAGTACTTTAATATTGAGTTACTACATAACTGAACATGATCGATTTCATTGGATGATTTTTATGGGTTATAAATATCTAAAAATTTCACTGCTTTCGCAAAAACAATTTTATTCAGCTTTTTAATAGCTGTTTTAAAGGAGTATAAATAATACAGTAAACATAATTTCGCACATTGACAAAATTCTTCAAGTTGGCAGGGTAGCAGAGTTGTAAATGATTTCATTCATTCATTTGCGAATAATTAGTCACTTGCTTTTTTGACAAAATTATTGCAATCAATTTTTGTATTCTATGACTAAGGGCAAATTTAACAGTCCTTAGTTAACTCACTGGTGACTAATTATTGAAGTCCTTTTTTGTTAGTCATTTAATTGAAATCCCCTTTTTGAAGAAAATTGGTGTCATTTGAATGAAGTCTCTCACTGAAGCCATTTGCAGTCCGTCAGGGCTAGTTAATCTGCATTTTAAATACGTGTATTATATGAATAAGTAATAAAGTAGTAATACATATTCATTTAATTTAAATTTCTACCTTCTACTTTTCTTAAAAAAAAAACATGTTTTTAACTACATTTGCAGTAATAAGTAGACCGAAATCTTCACACCAAAATGTTTCACGTTAGGCTCACAATTGCAATATCCCGTTGTAACGAGGTGGAATTCGCTAATAAGATTCCAGCAAGGCTTTGATTTCACATAAACAAAAACAGAGCACTTTGTGTGAAAAACAGGAATTGACGAAATTCTACGAGAGTGATATTAGGTGCATGAAGGAATATTTGCAATTGCTGCAACCAGTTTCTACAAAGAGATAGCAAACAGTATGGTATATGGTTTCCTTCTTCTACCTACGCTGGCGATATTTACGACAAATACCGCAGAACCGCGGAATACGAGCAACCCATACAATAAAGCATCTACATGCAGAAAAACAGAAGCTTTGGAAAAAACATTCCAGAAATATTTTTGCTTCGAAGAAGTAAATGATCCATCAGATGACAGCTTCGAACAGTTGTTGCTGCTTAAAATAAATAATGCGCTATAAGCTCCTATTTGTTTGTAATTTTTCTAAATAATTCATACGCTTTTGAAATAAATATTCTGTTTTTATGATTATTTGTCGTTTATATTAAAATTGTTAAAAACATTTTTGTGACTGCACTAAAAACGAAGTCATTAAGTGATTTCACCAAATGACTTTAGTCAAAACGTTACGTCAATGACTGCATTCAAAAATTGAAGTTATTAATTGTGACTTCAACGGATTTCAATCGCATATGATTGCGTTCACGTACAACCCTGCAGGGCAGCAGTAGATGGGTTTCACCGCCGCTCTTTTTACTACTAAACGTATACAGATCTACTTGCTGAACGAGCAAAACAATCCAGAAAATGTTCGTAAATTCTTAAAAAATATATGTTATTATTTTGAAGACTTTAAAGCTTAAAAAAAATTTGAGTTTTCTTGCGCAAAATATGAAAAGAGTCCTTGCAAATCACGCGCCTACAAATACTTGCAAAAATATCATTTTAAGCACATACGTAGTACATACATATGTACATACACATAACTAATAATATGTATTCACATTGACCATGCCTACCATCATAATCATAATCCTGATAACCTTGATCATTCATTGCACCCGGCCCATGTGGCCGACCAGCAATCAATGTTGGACTCGGTGTGGAAAACATAGGCGGCGGTGGGATTGGACCAATTTCGGACACCGGTATTGGTGGTTCTGGCAACTCGGAGAGTAAAACACCGCCAGCGCCTGCACTACCGCCGCCGCCACCACCACCACCACCGCCTTGGGAATTCACCATTTTACCATCGGACGCATAGGGTGGTGGTGTACTACCAGGTGGACCGCCAATAACATTATTCACTGCTGCGCCACTATCTGGATCTGAAAGCGAAAGAAATGGAGAAGAAAAGATGATATATATAAGCGAAGGGAAATGAATGAGTTTGGAGGATATACAATGTGAGTAATTAAATAAATTTATAATTAAGGAGAGCGTATATTAAGTCTACATAAACTATTTATTTAGCATACTACTGAATCAATTATCGGACACATGAGTAGATACTTAACATACATACAAATTTATATAAATTAACCCATCGTGTGACGAATTTGAAGGCATGTACATATATTTGACTTCTTTTAAGCCGGGTACTTTTCCTTTCAAATTATAATTAAAAATTTCCTTAAATAAGTATTTATTTACTACCCAGACTTTACCTTCGCCCACATAACGTAGATTTTTAATTGTGTACGTATTTATGTACGTGGCTACAACTGCAAAATGTATAATAAAATGTTTGGCTTTCAACAATTTGATTTACTGCTACGCTTTGCAACGGTTATAATCTTATTGCTGCAATTTTATGGCAGAAAAATGATAATAGTGCAGGCAATTTGCATAATTGGATTGCATCTCATGCACACCTAAAGTGCATTTAGTTGTGCGTGTGTGGTAGTGCACACATATACGCATATACATTAGGGTGGTCCAAAAACCAATAAAGTCGGAATTGTAATGCTCTAACCCCCTAGGATTGTTGTATACCGAAAAATTATACCCCTATTTTTTATTTTGAAATAAAAAAATATTTAGAGGTCGCTCAAGCACTCAAAGTTTTCCATGTATTTTTATATGGGAAAAATAAAATTTTTCGTAGAAATGGTATAGAATTCTTGAAAATCAATATTTTTCGATCGGCTCTCTTCAGGAGACTTTTAATAATAATACCCAATTGTTTATTTAACAATTTTTTAATACTAATGATTTTTTATTGGTCGCCCCATTGAATTTTTCGGGGTTTTTGGCGGACCTAAAAATTATAGTTGCGATGAAAAACTAGTTAAATAAACACTCGGGTATTTATTGGGTGTCTCTTGCAGATAAACATAGTTTTCCGATAGAAAAATATTGATTTTTAAGAATTCTATACCATTTCTACGAAAACGTGTTTTCTCCCCATATAAAATACATGGAAAACTTTGGGCGACCTCTAAATATTTTGTGATTTCAAAAAAAAAAAAGAGGGGTATATTTTTTCCGGTATAGACCAATCCTAAGAGGTGATGGCATATAAGTTCCGACTTTACCTTTTCACATGCACTTTTGGACCACCCTAATGTACATACATATGTATATGAAATTCCACTGCTTAAGAGCTTTAACGGATTTAAAAGTATGTTTGCGAAGCTTTTGTACATTTTATGTGCAAACAAATAACAAAATTTAATTAAATTTGGTAAGTGATTTCAATCAATTAAATAAATTGTTGAGTAGAAATAGTAAATTGGCTAATAAGCTTTGGACTATAAACGACTGAAATATACATAAATGCTGTATTTTGTTTCTACATACTTACACACATCTGTATGTACAAATATTTGCGTTATAAAATGCAGTAATAATAAGAAGAATTTCAATAGAAAAGAGGCTTAGGTTTACTTGAACAATTAAAAAACCCAAAATAGTGCGCTTATATACATACTTAATATAAAATATGCTTACAAGAACTCGAAAGTACTCAGTACTCAAAAATACTCTGTTCCAATCATCACTTTCTAATAAATATTTAAAATCTGAGTTCTATTCACATTTAACGGTATTCAAAAATGATTGCACTCAATTTCAAGCTTCAATAACTTTCAAATACAATAATTCTACCCAGTGCAGTTAGCCATTCATTTGACATAATTTTGATTTAATATATTAATTTCAATAAAGTGTTGCCAGCTTGAGGGAATTCTACATTTCTACACTAAGCATTGAAATGTGAGCAACGTGTATATAACACCGTGCGACAAGATAAAAAAAATAGAATTTCAAAACACACGAAAGAATCGATATACTCACGAAACTATCGGCCAAATATAGTCAAGCTGCGTTTTTACTTTTCCACTCAGAATTCTTTCTTGTATATGATACCCTTATTGTTATTCTACATTGAACTGCATTTTTTAAATAATTGTTTGAGATAATCAGTTTTACTACAATTCACCCATACGCGAATATTAATTTTTGTGTGTGTAAAATTTTTTGTCGCACGGTGTAATTAAAGAAAGTACGCAGTACTCTCAAAAATACCCGATCGTTAAAAGCATCGATACCAAAGAACTCGATCCTCAAAAGTACTCGATACTTCCCAATACTACATATAAGTAAATTTTGTGAGAAACATGAAAAAATAGTACTTCTACAAGCAATGACAAACCACTTGTGTACTTTCGACATGAAAAGATTTCCATAACAAACAAACTTTCATAAAGATAAAGCTATACATAGCTCTCCCGATTTGTGCGACCAAATTACAACACGGACCCCAGTATTTTGGAGAAACTCAGCTAAACATTAATAAAAAATGTATAAGACCAAAGTATTTTTTATTATTTATAATTTCAAGATTTTGTCGAATTTTCGCCATTAAAAAAAAATTAATTTTTTCAAACCTTGGTAGTGACCCCTATTTTTTTTTTCAAATTTGGAAATATCTGTGCCACATGTTGTTGACATTTTAAGGCACACCCTAATACATACATACAATAAAGGTTTAAAGTATTTTCCCAGAAAATTTTTTACAACAATTTGATTTTAATTTTCTCCCGCTAGTTTTTTTTGAAAGTATGGTTAATACAAGTTAACAAGAAACACGAAAATAGAATTTCTAATAAATTTCATGCAAATCAACTTTTTGATCAGATGTTTTTTTTAGATTTGAATTTTTTTTGAAAATGCAGTTTTGTAGCAAAGTTTGAAGTTTCTAAAAAAATGTCGTTGATTTTAGAGCATTTTTTCCAATACAAGGTATTTTCGAATTTGTTTTTATGAAAGAAAATGCCTAAAGAATTGCCAAAAATCAACGGTAAGTTCTAGCTACTTCAAATTTGCACTTTATTATACTAAAATTCAATGAGCTATGTTGGAAAAAGCTACACGGTGGAACATTTTATGGGAGATCTGGGTCGCGAATTTGTGAAAAGTTGATTTAAATTTCCATTCTTAAAAAAAAAAACAGAATTTCTCTATTTTATTTTATTCTATTTTTTAAAGGCAAGGAGTCTTCCATCCCAGAAACCTGCTGATTTCAGAACTTTAGCTAAGCTCTAAACTTAATAGGGGTTTCAGCGAAGTCCAAATGAAATACTGAATCAGTAGTTACGACATGCCAAGGCCTCGTTTCTGTGGGAGTTCCAGTATTCCTAAAATTTTAAAATCGACCGGAGCTCTTTTGCAATCTCTAAAGATAGCATATGGGTTTTCTCTCTCGCACAAGATCTAGGAGTTAAACAAGTTTTTATTTTATAATCCAATAAATTTTCATGTTTATTTTCTACGTTTTCATCAGATTATGTATGCAGTTTTC